CATGATTCGACAGAGCGAAGGGATGACCGACCGATTGTTGAGTGGCAAATTCAAAAGTAAGTAGTTGAATCTGGGATGGCCAGCAAAAGCAAGGACAGGAAATATAAATGCAATCACACTGCATGTGAAGAATCCTGTGGACCTGAAAGTGAAGGTACAACGATCGATGTTCATGTGTATGTTGATGGAGCTCTGCTGTTGATTGGGATACGGAACGACTACAGCGGTACTGTTCTTCGTACGATAAAGTTTTCTTTTCAAGTCTTTTTGTTGCCGCGTAACTCTCATTGTCCCATTATGCCTGAATTTCGCTGTACTAATTCTCTGTGCCTTGAGCAGCACCACTGTTCAGTTAATACCAGTTGGCGGGAAGTTTACAGATAGCATGTTTCGAAAATTTGGGCACAACAGCAGCTTATTGCAAATTGATAGACGACTGCCAAACAACAGTAATATGCCTTGATTCGGATGACTGCTTCAAGATGACCTGATGCTCTTTGATTCGTGGCGTCTGTATTAAAACTAGTGGTCGTCTCTTCAAGTCCTCATGATCTCGAAAGCTGTAGATGATTATACATTAAAATATTTGGATTTATATGGCCTGAAGTGCTCCTTGTTTAATTCTTTTCTATTTATTATTTATCTGTCTTTGTTCATGTTTTTTTATTGTTTTATTTCTTTGTTAACTTCAAATATATGTGATGTAGATCGATGACTTTACGTTGTGGTAACTGTTCTGTTCTCGTATGCTTAGCTCTCTTAGTGTTATTTTACTACTGAGCTAAATTTTGTTTATTTTAATTTGTCATTTATGGTATTTTATAAGAATGTGCATTTCGTTGAATTGTTACGTGAGTGATCGTAATGAAACCTGTGTAACGCAAGCAAATTGGAAATCGATAATTAGTCCAGTACGAAATTTTCAGCTCGCGTCACAGACCTTCTTCAAGGTGGACAGGGTTGATTTCGAAGTTCGTTTTGTGATTGGTTTATGCTATTTCATCTCTGCTGAAAAACGGCAGTTCAAATTTCATAGTTATTCAGTTGTCTTGTTTCTTTCTGCTGTATTGTCTGGTCATTTGTCTGATTCATTTCTGGTCATTTGCGTAGTATAAATGTTTGCTAGTTTGGAAGGAAAGTGAAAATTTTATCCTTCAGGATGTCGGCCTTACACTTTCATGATTGGCGCCATTCGTTTCTCTGGGTTATCAATGCCTGTCCTTCACATGATGGAAGATATATTGGATCTTGAAAGAATATTCTTACAATTTGTCATATTTAAGAGCCTAGTTGATGACCGAGCTGTTGGAAGTTCGTCGTTATCACCAAACTGATCCTTTTTGGGATAGGTTTATCGACTGTGGTATATACTGTAATTAAATCGATTTATTGTATTAATTTGGTTTGTTTTTCGTTAAACCCTTCACATTCACGTCGCCAACCTTTTTGGTACCGAGCATCAGTATAAAATTTATTCAGATTGATGTTTGTAACCTCATGATATTTAATCGTTTAAGCAGATCATCCATCAGCGATGTTTTACCATGGTGTGGTGGCAACATAGTTTTAAGAGGTCTGCTTCGAACTCCGAAGGTGTCAGTTTCCATTCCGCTTGTGTAATCTTTGTCTTATTCGCGAATTCTCGTGAGTAGTGATTTTATTACACATTGCTTCAGACCAGCATTGCTCATTCTGTAGAGTGTGGAACTCAAAACTGATAGGCCCAAGGTTCAAGACTCAGTCGCGATCACTCGATTTTCTTCCTTCTGAAGTTGATAAATGAGAGTACTAATCTGTGGGAAAGAGACATGAAACTAGTCGCTACGCTCGCCATGTGACTGTAAACTGTGCCTTTCGAAAATATAGAAACGGAAATCAGCACAGGACCATCCATGTTATATAAAGGACACAAAAATGGCACAGTCATGAAAGTGAAAGAAGAGGGACATTATAATGGTGTAAAGCGTTCCTTTTCCTTTTCTTTTTATAATGGCGGAAAGTGGAAGAATAGATAATGACAATGATCATTTAGATATGCTGGTCAAGTGGTCTTGTAGCGAAACTTCCGATATTGACGCTAATGGAGATTTTGCAGTGACTGTAAAATCGTTTGAAATCTCGACTCTTGTTATCCTCTTTTTAACGACAACCAGGAAGCAGATCAAGTTGCACTAAGAGAGTGAGTCTTGGTCGAACAAGTCTGCCAATCATGAATCAGTTCAAATCCCTTATTGCGAAAATTTCCTGGCTGTTTAACGCTTCTGATGCTCAGATATACAAAAACTGTGAAACTCCGGGGATTTCAGATTTTGTGAATGTGTCCGTAGAGAGAGCCATGCTCGAATGAAATTTTAACTGTCTATATCTGTATGCTGAAGAAACCAATAGATGGTGAAGAATCGGATAAGTGAACACTTGATTTGTCTTAGCAGAGGAGGCCACATGAGCTTTGCCGTTGTAAAGCACGGCATTCTAACCAACTAGGTAATGCAGTGGAATATGGACAGCATCGTTGGTACAAAAGCCAACTGGCAAAGCTTATTTATTAAAATATATACATATTCCTTCTTGTGTAAATTTTTGCGATCGTTCCTGCTGAAAGACGTGCATCTAACAGATGCAGGTGTTTGACATTTTTTTACGATTGGTTTTCCATCGGTTTAAAGATAAAGGCAAATCAGCGCAGACACAGCGAAGTAAGTATAACGGTATTAAGCAGGCAAAAGGTGCAGGCGCTGATGTAACCAACCCGGTTTTCTTTGAAGACGATGGGATCGCTTCCATGTCGATAAAAACTGAATTTTGTGCCCTGCATCTATGGAAAACTTTAGTGCTTTATATTCCAGCGTTTTTTCTCGTACATTTACGTCGTTTCGAACAAAAATCGTTGTGTATTTACTGAAATATATTTGTTTGTCTACTTACTTGAGTGTTCATAGTGCAGTATGTCCATGGGATGTTCTTCAACTTTTGCTAAAATTTTACATGGAACGAATGGAGCTTTTCGATCTATTTCTACAATACAGTCCAAGTTTCACATTCATAAAGCGTATGAAGGGTAAGATAGCGTTTGTCGTATCATAGTTCGGTTTCCGTACTGAAATGTGACTGCTGCCAGATGTGCACCGGAGACGATGTGACTGAGGCAGT